AAATTTTAAGTTTTTAAGGATTATATTCATCACACTAGTCGTGACAGAAGTTGATATTGTGGTGGTCTTTCCTACTCACTCCCTCTGCAGTTGCCATCTTGCTTTGGTTGTCAGTGCAGCACACCAGTCTAAAATACAGAAGTCAGCCTTGCTGAAAATCTGGTCGTGCCACAGTTTTGTTTATATCCCAGAGCTGTGAGACGGTCAGAGATGGCAGATTATTCACTGCACCCTCACCGTAGCGTCCAGAATGATCACGATTAACAGCATTTTAATGTTGTGTTTATTTTCAGCAACAACTGTTCCTGTGATTCAGCTTGAGGTTAACAGATTTTAGGAGTGGCAGCTGAGACTAAAAGCGAGACAACCTAGTGAGAAATAAGGTGCTGAGATCACTTGACCAATCAGAAGCACTCCATGCCCCGCTCTCAATGATCAGGATGACATTAGTAGTACTTTTTCCCTCTTTTTGCTGTTTTCGGGTAATTGATCCCGCTCAAATCTTTGTGTTTTGCCAGTTTCCTGGAGGGTAATAAAGGAGATCAGGCAAAGAGCTCCTTAAAGTCTCCAGCTTGTGGAAAAAAGTTCCAACGTTAAAATACAACTAAAATAAAAGTCTCACTTTAAAACAAATACAACAAAACAGATTGCAAAAATACAGATTTTCCCATGAGAATATGCTTATTATACTGCTGTTATTAATTGAACTTATTGTTTACAGTACCAATTATATATACGGATATGTGTAGATACATACATCTCTGTTTTCAGTTGCACAGAGCACAATGTGTTGCCATTGTTAGGCACAAAGACAGAAAACTAGATCCAAAGCAGTTAAAAGACCACTGAAAAGGTTTTTCAAAACTGAGGTGAGTCTCATAAAGAAATCTGGCCTTTTATATGGAAATAAATTAACTGTGGCTGAAAACTTTGACAATCTATTTTTAAAACAACAGTACATCTCTGGAGAGAATGGAAATGAGTATTCTTGGTTTGCACTGGGTATTATGGGTTTTAGTAATGGAATATTTTTTTATACCACAGAAGACTGTAAATGTTGTAACAGTGAATCATCTGTGAAGAACTACATTCACAGTCTGTGTAGCCATAATATGATTCCATGCTGTCTGGAAGATATTAAGTAACTTAGCGACTACTGGACACCTGTACTGACTGTGCAGCGGTTACACTTTTTTAATGTTTCCATAGGTCTGCTGATGAAATGGATTAGGGACAATACATTTCTAGTATGTTTTCCTATGCAACACATACACATTTGCGTTGTTGCATATTTTATATCATACCGGTTCTTAATGTTTTTTTATAATTATTATTATTTTTTTATCCAGTGTTGTCTAATATAAATGAGTGCCTTGTTCTTGCAGTGATAGCTCACCGCCTGATTGTTATGAGCTGTAATCACTAATTACTTATTTGTTCGCAGTCAAGTGCCGGGCTCACCAGAGATTATCACCCCAGATGATTGATTGGCTCTGTTCCACTCTCAAACATTTAAAGGGAATTATTTCTACTTCTATCTGCAGATTGCACTGCTCCTCTCTCATTAATGGTTGCAATCAATACAATTACAGTATCCCCATGGATTTTCATAAAAAAGTGTGTGTGGGGGGGTTGAATTGCGTTAGAACCAGACCTTAGCTATGATCAATATTTCTCACACTTTTAATTTGCAGTTTTGTCAGTTGTATGTTGGAAATTTAAAGTCCATGTTTTAAATTTTTAAAGACGTATCTTGTCTGAGTCACAGAGTAACATTTTCCGTGGTAAGAACCTGGTATTCACTGATGTGGGCATACAAATATTCGTCAGAAGGGTCAGGATTAACAGAGCACAGTGTACAGTACTGCTGAGTCAGATCTGATCACTATGTGGGTGGTCCTGCAGAACAGTGAACTAGGGTAAATTATCTACTTCTGATGAATGCTGCATCTTTGAGTCAGTAGCTTTAATTGGTGCTATTTTGGATTTTCCAAAGGGACATGACAGAAAGGTTTTGCTCTAAAATCTCTTCAAAGACTTATTTTTTCTGTGCAGATAAAAATCATGCGTAAACAAGCCTGTTATCTCTCAGAGTCCTAGAGTTTGTTTTTGGAGAAAATGTTGTTTACTGTATCTGGAAAGAACACATTAATGACTACCATCTTCATAAATAGTTAAAGATCTATATTCCTAATATATTAATGCATGAATCAGCTTTGTCCATTGTTTTTCAGTATGAATAAGTCATTTTTTCACACAAAAATTAATTTGATTTTAGTAGTTTGTTAAGAAAAGGTTAATATGGTGCTTCCTTTTGCAGTAGACTTTTGTTTTCCATCAGCAAAAAATAGCTGAAAATCATTTTAATGAAAATTGGCTGTCTAGTTGTTCCTCCTGTATTTTTCTATGCTATAATTAGCTTTAGCTCTGCCTGTTTTTCTTTCATTATGTCTGAGACAAATGAACGAGAGCTTTAAAGCTGCAGCTGTAGATCAGTTGTACAATTATTTTAACTTCCATTTCATCGGCCATATGTGTGGATTAAGTTGAAGTGACTTGAAAGGCCAAATCAAATGTTGTGGGTAAACTAACTGCAAACAGATTTTTTTTTTTTTTTTTTTTTTTTTTGCTGTGTAAGAGCGTTCCCTGTGCAGAATGTTTTTATGGTTACATTACATCCCTTTATAAATACAAACATGGACTGACTGTGTGGATAAAAGATATACTTGCATAACAGAGCTGCAGATGAAATTAACTCTGGGGTGTTTGAGAGTCCTCTGGCCATGTATCACTCAGCTCTCTTGCTTCTAAGCCACAGTGACCCTTGGCCAGGCGTCTTGATAGATGTTTCCACCTGATGTAGTTGGAAGTAGAAGGTTTTATTGCTGTTCTTCTCCTTAAACTCTTGGCGTTTAGTGCAATGGTTTCACAAGTTTATAGAGCACGTGCAAAATGTTCTGTTTGCTCTGTGGCTCTTAGGTCCTTTAATTAATGTCAATTTATTTTTATAGCGCATTAAAACAACAGATGTTGATCAAAGTGCTGTACAATTTAATGAAATACAGCAAGATATCGACAAGAACAGGAAAAAAAAAGATCTGAAAGTGAGGTTAGAACAAAAATACAGATGTACTCCATACCTGTCATGGTAAAACTCAAACTCTATTTGAGTCAAATGCCAAAGAATAAAAATGCCATTCATTCCAGCTCTGGGCTTGATGATTAAGGAGCACTTGAGTGCATAGAGGAAACATCTAGGATTGAGTGTGAAGTTCAGCATCTATTGTGTCTATGACAAGGATTAACAACAAGAGCAAAAGGCCTGAACCTTGGTTGGCGTGTAAAGTGGTGTTAGGAATTGATGATATCTTAATGAGTCATATAACCATGCTTATGGTGTTGGGAACCATGAGGTGAACCCTATTATGTTCTCTAAGAAGCGAGTTTCATTTAGAGAAACCTTTTAAAAATAAATAATGTCCTGCATTGTTGAAATGTATATAAACGTCCTCCCTCAATTAGACTGAAAAATATCATTTGAAACCATTTGTAGTTAGTACATACGGGTCAAAACATTTTGTACTGACATTAAATATAAAACGACTGAATATGACACTAAATGTGCAAATGTCTCTGTATCGTTGTTCTGACTTTTTCTTATTCTGAATATTCTCTACATCCATCCAGCAGTATATTATGTCAGAGGATGTCATGATCTCTTACCACACAATGTATTTTTGACACAAACCGTGACATCGGGGACACCTCGCTCTCTCCCTGCGTCCGTTGCCAGTCCCATGTTTTAGAAGGCATTTGTGTCCTCTGCGACATTTTTGCAATGAGCATTGACATTTTTGACATCTCCATGTCCACGCCTCCTTAGGCCAGCACCGCACCTCGAGAAAATCTCTCTTCAATTATTAACATTATTTCCCTCTTTTGACAGTGACTGCCACTGTAGAATCATTTGTTCCGCTGAAAGAAAATGTGACATTTGCAGCTCCATTGTCGCAAGGTTAAGAGGAAAGAGGAGTGAAATCTAAGTAGGATGCCCTCAGGTGTAGCTATCTAAAACCAGCAATAAAACACTTAGGCTGTAGACAATCTTAACAGTTGAGAGATAAAATGTCCTGAAATGCAAACATCACTTTTTTTTTAACTATCTTTAAAATATTGAAGGTGTTTTAGATTTACAGCACAAGTGATGGAATTATGAATCCATCGCACTGGAACGTGTTTGTTTCAGCTGTGAGTTGTCTGTTAAAGTACAAACAAATCGATGTCAAACATTTGAAAAGATGTTAGCCAGTTACTTCAGCTGAGAATGAAACAATAAAATATGAAAACTATTTGCCTATGCACATTGGGTTTGTACAATCTCTTGCCCTTATTGTAATCTTGGTCTCAGACCCATTCATTTATGATTTAAATCCTTATGAATAAACTTTTTTTTTCTTTCTCAGTTTGTACTCAACTTGGCGTTTGGTGCTTTGCAAAATTGCTTTTATCTTTTATTTAAGACAAATAGAATCTCATTTTACATTTGAGAATACATGAAGATTACATGGCCTGTTTATGAGTCTCGCTGCGACTGCAACATAAATATCAACTGCTGCAATATGATTCTTCATTCAACACCAAACAAATCTTGATTCTGAAAATGTAGATATGTCGCACTATGTTCATGCTAGAGTTAAATTTCTACAAGTTTTCCCTTTACATGGATTTTCTTTATTTCCTTCTGTGTAAAGATTTTTTAAACAAGGAAGTTCAAACATGCAATAAGTTCAAGCACTAATTTTGAACATGTGGTCTAAAACTGAACAGTGAATTAGTGTTGTAGTTTTCTGTAGTTATCTTACAAGTAAAGCAGAGTGACATAGATGGCTAACACAAAGTTAATAGTGTTTATTATTATTATTATTTTTTTTATATTATTGTGGTTTTTTTTACAAAAGCCAAATAAGTCAAACTTCCTGATTTGACTGATTGATATTGCTGATTTTTCAATTTGCATTGTTTCTAATAGTTAATTTGAAGATGCCCGTCTTAGTGAAATCGGTTGCATACTCTGTACCTCACGTGCTCCTGTGTCTCAGTTGCATTGTATTTAATTAGTGGTACATTGTTGGAGCGTGACCTTTAACTGTGGCACCTCTTTAAGGCTCGTTGGTAACATTTTTAGAGTTCTGGAGATGTCACTCTGGGGAAATAACTGTCACTAAACTAGATTAATAAAACAGAACTGCAGCCTCACAGCCTTACCAGCGTTGACTTCAACAAAAGCGAGGGCAGTGCTCAATAAAGTGGCCACCCCCAGAAGATTTGAACCTCTAAGTAGCCATAAAACATGGCTGCAGCTGTGCAAATACACTATCAAGGGTGAAACAAGGACAGACAAGATGTTGGAGCTCAAGAAGCTCGAGCGAGTGTATTGAAATCCTTCGTTCTTGTTGTGGTTTTTCTGTTTTGTTTTGCTTTTTTTTTTTCTGCTCCTGATCCGATCGGTCCCCAAAGCTCCGTTCCTGAACAAGAAAACCGTGTCCCTTTAATAATGCCCTCCCCCTTTTTTATGCCATTTTCTTCCCTGCCTCAGCACCCACCCTTCTCCTCCCCCTCCTTTTTGCTCTGTGGTTGCTATGAGAACAGCAGCACTGCACCATTCATCTGCTGGAGACCTGGACTCCTGCTCCTGTAGAGAAAGTGCACCTCTCACATCCATACATAACACAGTGAGCGCTAATGCAGTCACACAGCTAAACGGAGAGCTCACCTTTCTCTAACGACGCAGGAAATTTCACTTTTTTTTTTTTTAAACCTCAGATTTGTTTAGCAGTAGTGAAGATTTTTGTCACTTGACAGCTTTGGTACATGCTCCACTAGCGGAGTTGTCACCTGCATGTCTCCCTCTTTCGCCAGTGGCACGGTGACTGCTGCACTTTTCCTTTCTCCTCATCCTTTCTTCCTTCCCTCCTCCTCCTCTCGCTCCTCCCGTCACTGCTAAAGCTGCCTGGCTCCGTATCATTTCCTGCGCCTGAGCTGAGCAGGCAGCATCGCCACTGAAACCTGTGGAGATTTCTTCAGAGGGGAGACAAGTGGAAGCGAGAGGGAGAGCTTCCTCTCCCCCTTCTACTCATCCTCCACGCTGCCTCGCAGCACCTGCTTTTTTCCCCCCCTCCTTCTGATCGCTCCCATCATTTCTCCCCTCCGTTTTTGATGAACTGGTCATCGCTCGGGGAGGAAGGATTGCTCGTGCCGCTGGAAGGAGGGGACCTGGTGCCGTACTCGAGCCTTCAGGAATGCGAGGTCTGGTTTGAAAATGGTGAGCCCGGCCACACCCTCTTTCACTTGATTCATTCCTCCATATGTGCCTGCAAACCCCCCACACCCATCTCTCCCCGCCCTCCCGTCTCTCCTTCCTCCCTGTCCACCAGCCCCTCTTTCACCTGCTGCTCCACCTTTGCTCAGCCAGAGTCTGTCTGCTGTCTTAGCTCACAGCTGGAGCATCTGTGCCGACCGCCGGTTCGACCGACGCTTGTGCAGACATGGGGCTAATGGGAGGAGAGTCAGAAAAGTAATTTTGCTCCATGAATTGATGCATCTGTCAAAGGGCTGAACTAATCACAGTGTGGGCTTGAGGGCCTGTGAATCAACCAGAGTGTGATAATGTAAGTGTTTTTTTTTTTGTTTGTTTTTTTTGTGTGGCGAGCTGGTCTGTTTCATGCGTCAGCGTGGGCGAGCATTCGATTGTCTTTCAGCGTGTGTATGTATATGTCTGTTGAAGCGCGTGCGTGTGTGAGTGTGTGTCTAAGCACAAGCTGTGGGCGGCTAATGGTGCTTGCTCCTACTGATGTGCGTCTCACTTTTCCTTCTCGAGAGCAGCGTCGTTTGTAGCATATGGTTGCGTAAACGCGTTGAAGTTGGTGGGGAGTTGTTTCCTCCATGTCGCTCTGCAGTTGGCAGCAGCTTGTTGTGGCACACCGGAGTCACCCCTGTCATTATGCTGGGATGCGGTTCCTCCTTCTAGCTCCGGTGCTGCAGGCATCCCTGCCTCCCTGTCTGGTCCCGGGGGGCTGTTAGCTCATCTGTGAACAGAACAGAATGTCTCAATAACACTGTCTGCCAGAAAAACACCTCATCAGCAGCTGCTATTGCCGGTCTCAGGTGAATGCCTTTTGATGAGGCGCCTTCAGCCGGCTTTCACACCACTTAGTACCACCACCTGGAGAGGGTTTTGATGAGCTTACTTTGTCAGCTGTCATTCAAAATGCAGAAGGCAATGATGCTAGGAATATTAAAATGAGTGCTGCTAAAAAGCCGTGTTTATTGAGTCAGTGGTGGGTGAAGATTTCCTCGCATTTAGGATTCCTCATGGCGTGGTTGAGCCTGATGGAGCCAGGCTGGGAAGCAGACAGCATCCACTCTCAGATCCAGTATTGCTTTGTGGTGGTTGAATATCACTGATGGACAGAGTCAGCATTGTCTCATCCATTGATTTATTTACCACTTGAAGTACACAATCCATTAAAATATCAGATCTTGAAACCGTAAACTCCCTAAGGGTAGGTAAGCTCATTGTGTAAAATTTCCAACAAAACATTTAGTTTTTCTAATGTCTAGCTTGTAATAAGTTAATGAGATTTCAAAATTATGATTAGGAACAAAGATGAGGCAAACATTGAACTGTTTGTCTACAGAGTCGTTTTTAGACAGCATCAGTCTGTTGGGTTGTTTTGCTGTCAGAACAACTGGTGCATTGCACAAACTAGATGGATTAACAACCTCCTAGTTCTTAGCTTCAGCTCAAATCAATCTGGACTCAACTCTGATGGTGAAAAACTTTCAGTGAAAAGGTTCCTCAAGAGGAGATGGCTCAACCCTGAACCACCAACTGAATATTGGATGAAAGAGACTTTACAATGGAAAAACTGTATTTCTCTCTGATAGTGCTGAGGGATGCTTTCTAGAGCCCACATTTGCAATGTTTTTTAAACAAAAAGTCAAAAAATGTGAAAGCATTTAATTACATTAGTTTGTAGTATTCCATATGCTTTCCCAATTAAACATTTAATAAGAAAAAAAAACTTGGATCTGACTGAATGTTCTAACAGAAGAATGATCCCAGACACACCAGGCCTGGTTTTGGTATGAATGATTAAAAAATACTGACATGAAGTTTTTGGAAAGTCCTCAACTCAATAACAAGTGTGAAATCAGATTTTACACGAGAGTGTGCTCTCTTAGCTTAAACAAACTCCTAAAAGATAAAGGTGCTGAGGTTATACTGTCTTGCTACTTAGATTTCTTTTTCCCATAATTACTTTATTTTGTACATTTTAAGTCCCATGTAGGCTGTAGTCAGTGCCCTTTATGTCATATTTATTCAGATGACAATTTGAACAGCTTTGAACAGTCGTCTGAATTTACACCCACTTCTGTGAGTTTAAAACCCATGGATCCTCGATAGCAAGTCAGGTTCATATTGATTTCTGTAATTGCTCAATATCTTTCCTGTGTCATCCTCTGAGCTGGTGTCAAATGAAAGTATCAGTCGCCAAAGACAAGTCTTGACAAATCAAAGGCAGACAGAAGGTTAATGTCAAATTTTCACTGTGGCATGTTTTTGAATTAGACTATTATACTGTGCCTCTGTGGCTTTCAGATTTCTGATGCGGCTTCTGACCGGCTTTAACACTTGATTGCAGTGTTGATTACAGAAGCGGTCGTCATAGGTGGGTGGACACTGTCTCGCTTTGCCTGACAGCATGGTCATATATCAGGCGTTGACAGCACTCCTGTCCCCCCCTCCCCAAATACATCACTTTGTTACTGACTGTGAAACGTTAGGAGGGGAATTTAATTAAGTTGCATACGAGCCATGTGTTGTTGTAGCCTTTCAGTCACTCGTACTCTGACTTTAATAACACTAATGAAAATCCTTTCAATGAAGCCACTACATGTTCTACCATGGAGGTGGTTTTTTTTCAGTGCTAGTTTTCTGCCACAGTTGTTTTGCAAGACCAAAGACAAAGTTTTGGGCCCCTGTGCCCAGTTCACCATTCTTTATGCATTTGCTGTGTCACCTACAACATGATTATTGTATGGCGTTAGTGGAACAATATTTTTCTTCTGGCAAAACATCCTTGAAGGTCAGTTTTTTTTTGGAGTTTGAAACAAATAGTTCATTTCTCTGGATTAATGCTCTGTTTGCACTGAAGTCAGTTAAAGAGTAACGCCACATCTCTGCTGGTTTGCTTATTTTTTATTCAGTGAGAAAAATAAGTTGGATAAACTAATGTTTGTTTGTTTTTTTTAAGTTTCCTCATCTGCAAAGAATGAAGAGGTTTGTAATTGTCATTATAGGTACACGTAAAGCTGTGAACGTTTCTAAAAGGAATTCAAAGTTTCCTCCAAAAGACCTGCTAAGCCCAGTGGTTGACAGCCATTTATCCAGCGGCCCAGGGACAGGGAATTTGAAAATATCACTTGATAATTTTGTGCCATTGGAAAATTGGAAGATTAAAATCTGAACACCAGCTATAGAGTCTTAAAAAATGCAGACATTTAAAAAAAACTTATAATCCACTGGGGGAAATCCTTGAATTCCAGACAATTACATTGTCTGATTTTTAAATAAGTATTGTTTATTTCATTGCATCAAAAAAAGTATTTCCAATAACTGTTGTAGTTTTTCCACAATCTTTGTTCATGATTAGAGAGTTCAGACATTTCTTGTAGTTCCTTCCTCGGTTTGAAGACACTGCAGCAGAGATTTCGTCCCACTTCACCATGCAGATCTTCTGCAGATCATTCAAGTTTCAGGGCTGTTTGAACTTCCGACAAGTATTTTCTTTCATGTTCAGGTCTGGGGAACAGCTAGGCCACTCCTGCAAAGGTTTTTCTGGTTTACCTTGAAAGTTTGTTTTGGGCTATTGTAATGCTAGAATATTCGGCCATCTTCAGTACTCTGACTGAGAGAAAGAGGTTATTACAAAATCTCGCCATACATGGTTTCATCTGTCTTCTCTTTATTATAGTGTAATTATTCTGTCCCCTTTGCACAAAAGCATCCTATAGCATAATGTTTACACTTGCAGGCCTTAAGGTTGGAATAATATTCTTATGATTTTATTACTCTTTTTAGAGTATTTTTTCTTTATCATTATTCTGTTATGTCTTAGGTAAAATCACAATACAAGATTTGAATATGACAATTATAAAAGTGCTTAGTTCTTTATTTCATTAACACAACCAACATTAATTCAGAATTAGTAATTTCTTCAGATCACCACATTTTTTTTTCATTCATTTATTTTATTTTGGTAAACTGTCCACATCACCAGAAACAACAAAGAAATAACAATAAACAATAAATATTGACATTGATATTTGCATGAAAATGAAAAACATTTACTTAGACTAACATCTATTTTCAAATTGCCATTTATTCTGTGTGTTTTGAATTTGAAAACTTGAATAACCTGACCGAAGGTCTTTTTTGTTTTTGTTTTTTCCCCTAATATTTTTTTTCTGGATATTTAGCTTTTCTTTCTGGGAACATGAAAAGGCTGTGGAGTGGAGAAGAGAAACCCGCAGTGTGCTATTATTAGCAATGATAAGAATTTGCTTACAAAACAGAGCAGTGGGTTACATATGTACCACCTCAGTGCTTTCTGTGAATCCTGCTGGTGGGGAGCTGAGCAAACGTTTCCCACTGAGATACGGTTTCTTAATGTTGTGTTTCCATGTAAATCCAATCAATTGCAGGCCATTTCACCAAGACGTCATGATGACACCGCCTCTGCATTAACATTCACCTCTCGTCTGTCCGTTGTTAAAGTATTTACTCGGTCACTGCAAGGGTCGGCTTTGAGGCGTTTGTTGGTGTCATGGTCCAAAGGGTTTCATAGCGGCAGCAGATGATTAGTTTTTATCAGACGTTAAAAATTTTTCATGACCTCTGATGCTTGTTGTTTTGTGTTGCAGAGATTATCAGAAGCCTCTTAATCAGAGTAGCTGGAAATCAAAAGCCAGTATCAGCAAAGCGCGTCTCTGTCTGCTGTTTTGTTTTCATTTTAAGAAAGTTCTTAATTAAATAACATCCTGCTCATGTTAATTTTCTCAATGACAAAGGGTGGAGTTCTCTAGTGGGAGGTTATAAATATCTCCTCAAGGGGTTGAACTCCAGCTGGAATAAAGGTCACAGCAGCGCTGCTATTATTAGACCACCTTATCAAGTGGTGTCCTCGCCAATTATGATACTCTCCTAAAGCGATTTCACGGGTAACTTTACAGCTCGCAGCCGTATTCAAGAGTTTCTCG